CATGCAAAATGGTGTGTTTGTTGACATCTCTCAAAAAACGATAGCGAACGCGTTCGCACGCTCACCGCTCCCCGCTCCCCGCTCGCCACCGTCTCTCATCGATCGATGCGTGACTCCACCTCTCGCTATCGATTTTTCAGAGATGTCAACAAACACACCATTTTGCATGCTGCCGAGTCCGGCCTTATTGGCTCAGACGTTTTTCTGAATTAGGCCGATAATAATTACGATTTTGTAAAATTTTATATAACTTTTCTTCTCAGTTTAACCCAATCTACTATAATCTTTGGGGTCGTCCATATCGAATCTGACACCCTGTATAATAAGATGTAAGACTAAAGTAGGTTGACTAATGTGGAAGCATTCAGTCATATCTACAACTAACAATGAATAATATTGTAGAACAGATTATAACACAGATTACACATAAAAAGTCCAAAACTTACAAGTCGGTTCATTAATTGTGAAGGTAAAACTTAATCGTACTAATGGTCTCCATATCTCATTTCTCGTGCACGATCTCAAAAAGACGTCTATCCCACACAGCACTTAGAAACGTTATGGCAAAAAGTTCAATAACATACATATAACAGTTGAATATTTATAAGATTCTTATTACTTTGTCGTACATTTTGGATAAATTGTCTGTCATTTTGAAGGTTTATAGTCTTGTTATTCTTTTTAATGAGACTCATTTCAGCAATTTCTCTCTTTTTTGTGTGCTTTTCTTTGTGCAATATTTTAGGGTTGGACCAATCAAAGTCATGATTTAATGATTCACGATGTTTACTAATTACTGAATGATTATCGGCGTCTTTCTTAATATTAGATTTGTGTTCTTTTACTCGTGTTTCTAAGTGTTTTCTTTCTCTTTGTTTGTCCGATATAACATGCGTCGTACTTGTCACATTCGAGCATATACACTAACTTGGTTTGTTTAATGTTAATAAGTGAATCTTTTCCTTTTTTGATGACTGAGTTGAGTTTTTTTAAGGACAGTATAGACAGGATCAAAACCTCGGTCTTTTAAAATCCTATGAATGCCTTCGCTTGTATCTTATAAAATTTTTATTAAACCAGATATCATTCCTTTTACAAAATTTTTATTAAACAAGATATCATTCCTTTAGAGATTTTTATGGGATTAATACAGTAATAGTTGATATTTATGGAAAATCGTCGTTAAAGTCAGAAGATACAAAGAAATTTTACGCAGATATAATAATTGACGGGAAAATTCCAAATTTTGAAGTAGATTCGGGAGCAGAATTTACACTTTTGCCAAAAAATACTTTGATTTCAAAATTTCCAGATAAAACCAAATCCATCTAGAAGCCTAAAGACATCGACGTCGTAAGGAAAGAACAACCGCAAAAAGGGCCCGTTTTTCGGTTCTCGATTTTTCAAATAAACTAAGAATAAGCACAAGCTCGTCTTTATTTAAAAAAGAGTATAGGAAATTAAGGCCAATGTATTTACGAGCAATGAGTAATATGATAAAGTCAATGTTTAATTACTAAAATTCGGTGAACAAAGTTCCGTGGAATACATGAATTCGAGACGAAACAGTATAATGTACGAGGTAACGCTTTTCCTCTCTTAATCCTAGGTTTAAATTAGGTGTAAATAATTATTCGTTAAAATTAAATATAAAATTTGATAATAAATAACGGACGAATTTAACGAATAATTATTTACACTAAACCTAGGATTAAGAGAGGAAAAGCATTACCTCGTACATTATACTGTTTCGTCTCGAATTCATGTATTCCACGGAACTTTGTTCACCGAATTTTAGTAATTATACATCGACTGTATCATATTACTCATCGCTCGTAAATACATTGGCCTTAATTTCCTATACTCTTTTTCAAATAAATTTTATGTCAAATGATAGCTTATGATAAGACATTAATCACATAAAGATTTTACGATGAGCATACGGTTGGTTTCAGAGATATAGAGGGACAAAGTGGTTACCATGGCACCTACTAAGAAAGTATGACACTACCGACACTATAGCTTGAATTTTCGTTGCATTTTTTCGAAACTCAGTACCTATGGGTTCTTTGAGTTGCTGATTATGAATCTGATGTCAGATTTTAAAAATTCAAGATGGCGGATCCAATATAAAAAAATTAATTTCTCCAAAAATTATTGTCTAAGCGTCTTTCGAGTTGCTGATTACAAATTTTCCATCAGATTTTTGATACTAAACGACAATTTTTAAGTAAAAAAGCATTCTTTTGATTACCTTTTCATAAAAAATGTCAAATTCAAATTGATACGTTACATGGCGCATAAAAATAACATGATAGCTTTATTTGCTGTATTTAGAAGCTTTTTCACTGCAGACATTGTTCGAACTCACGTTATTAAATATCCCTATATGTACACTATTTTATGTTATGTTGGCTACACTGCATCTGCTATGTTGGCAGTGAGGTAGCCAGCCGTTCGGCCATTACAAAATATAACGTCGTACCACAAGCACGTGTGAATCCTTCTCTCCTTTACCTTTTCCGGATTACGACATTCAAGTCGAAACATTTGGTCCTTCGAACCGAATTGATTGAAGAGAAGAACAGCCAGGATTCGGAATCAACCTCGGGCTTGAGCCAGCCCAACTACACGCGCAAGGATCGCACGGCCAAGGCTAGGCATCGCCGCCGCAATAGACACAAAACGACGGCCTCTCTCACTCTCAAACGAGACATCGCCGTTGCGAGCCATAAGAGAAGTTCCGAGCTCCCACTCTCAAGACAGACTCGAGACATCGCCTCCACAGGCGTGCCACGGACATCTGCCTCTGTCGCAATTGGGAAGGACGGCCTATCTCTCCCACTCTCGTGCGGCGCCATTACAGGCAAGTCGCACGACACGCGGCCCCTCTCGCT